TTTCGTTGAGGCTCAAGTGAAAGTGTGAAGGATAGATCCAGTAACTCCGCTACACGCTGGACTAGTGTTCATTTACCTAGGTTGATGTATATTTTGTTTGATTTGAGGCCAAGGGAAGAGTACAGTACTACAAGACTATTAGACTATAACCAAATGTTTGGTGATTTTGCAATGTCAAGTGCTGGTAATTTCTTTGCTCGTTTTTAAACATTAAACAAAAGTTGTTTTTTAATTTGTGAGGTCCCTGGTCAGTATTGGAGACTTGATACCTTAAATAGCATAGTGATGTGATGGGGACGTGGAAGGTACAGCTAGCTTTAACCGCCTTCCATGCCAGCTGCTTGAATTGCTCAGTGACATGGTCCAAATACCTGACCTGTAACTGTAATATATTTACTGGAATGTACATGATGTCTTCAAAGTGCTTTCCTTTTCCTTGAAACCGGTTGTCATCTCATTCAATTCTTAGTGCAGCATTGTACATAGCCTTCATTATGTTTCTTCAAGTGAAGTTCATCACTTCCAGTAAACAATTGGAATAGGACAACTCTGTGTTTGTTGTTTTTTTTTCTGTGTTCTGTCTGTCCATCTGTTTAATGTTTGTTTTCTTATGTTTAATGTATGTGTGTGTATCAATGTTCTGCATGTTTGTGTTTCTGCATATGTGTGCATGTACCAATATCATTTCCCTTGGGCACACAGTGAAAAAGCAAGCAAGTGGTTTATTGCAAGGTGCTAATGGCAGGTCCCACCTTTGTACTCTCCCACTAAGGTCGACCTTCCATACACGGCACACAACGCGTCTTACAAGTGAAAACAAAAGTGGGCACAGCAATTTAGAGTCCAAACCTGCCACTCATCCCGATATCCCGATTTCGATCACCAGTATCCTGATTTTTTGTCATTGCGTCTGTTGCGTCCGATTCTTAGAAACAATATACATCTTGGAAGCACCGATTGAACTTTTTATCAGCAGGAACTTGGAACACTACTTTCTAAAGAATCTTTTCCGAATCTGGTACATTTGTAGATGACTCACGCACATAATTTCAACTAAAATCGACGTAGAATCGGTTTTGAATTCCGACTTGGATACGCTCAAGATCTACTTTCGCTTTTATAACCCAGAATTCTCCGATGGTGTCCTGATTATTGTAAAAATTATGACATGGGCCTAAGAATAATCTATTCCTTGTTCTGCCGTTGCTTTAAAAGCAAGCTTCGTCTGAGTTCTGGTTAGTCGGGCTTATCATCAAGGCCTATCAGTGGAACTTTCAAACGCTCATTCGCATCACGTGACATGACCTCGTACGTGCAAATAGCGCGTATGTCGGGGTCAACAAAGTTCATTCACACCAGTCAAAATGGTTCTGAAAAAACATTTCAGCAAGATCTATTTTTTTCCATTCAATGTAAAACATTTCTGAGCACAATTTCTGTTTTGCCAGTCTACAGATCCACTTGGGCCGCTGAAGAATTCGCTCCTCAGTAGATAATGTTCACAACACCACATGGTGCGCTTTTTCTCTACTTCTTTGTATTTATTAGCAATGCTAGCGCAATCAAAGTATCTGATCGTCATCATAAGAATCCATGATTGACGAAAGAAAGTGTGACTGCCTATGCTGTTCTGATATGTCGCATGTCCTATTTGTAGGGGGCCAGACCTGCCGACACGTAGTGAGCCGTGTACCTTCCAATGGAAGGTCGGCCTAATGCTCCCGTTTCTTGCTCTTTCCTTGCTCGAAATGATACATTAGTCACAGTCTACCACGCACATAGGGAATTAGTCGGGACTTGGAAAACATTTCGTTATGAACAAATTTTGGAACTTAATCTCCCTGCTCCCCTCAATAAATTTCTCTATAATACACTCAAGAGATGGAAATATTGGAAACCTGTTCAGTCTGGAACAGAAAGAAATTCCTTCCTTTCAGGTGGATGTGACCTGTCGAAGACAGAAGATGCCTTGACTTGCCCGCCCAGCCCCGATTTAAAACAAAATTACCAAGTTTGGTTCTATCGGCTCTGACCTTAACACCACGCTGCCTGGAGAGGAAGGGGGAAGGGGTGTGGCCTGGGGGTAGCTGTCACCTACCGTACCCCACCCCATCCATGTGGACTCTGAGCAGTGCAGGTGGTCGGGGTGGTGTGGGTATGAAAAATCTCACCACTAATTGTGAAAGTGCTCAAGAGGCACCCCAGGACATAAACTTTCTTGGATAGCCAGATGTGTGAAATTAATTTGGCCATTGCCTGCCACCCTGATTGTATAGCCAGCAGAGAAAAAAGATCCTCAGATCATTGTTACAAGCATGGGAGGAATGGCATGGCTTGATTGTGCTTATTACATCAATGGTTGGGGCTAAGGGAGGAAACAGAGGAAACGTTCAATAGTTTTAATTGGTTAAGCAGTTGGTCTGAGATGCAAGCACTGGTAGTTGGTTGCAAAGGATGTACACAATAGGCTATTTATTAAGTGTATAATGATCCCTGGTGCAGGTGTGATAGATGGTGTCTTGGAATAGAGTAGACAAGGTTCAGTTCATTCCACCTAGAACACTCAGATCATCAAGTGACAAAACAACCCTTGTTAAACCTAAAACACATTACAAAGCATATGGCCAACGCTCTTTTCATATTCTGCCCCACTTGTTTGGAATAGGCTTCCAAAAACTATCAGAGAAGCAGAACATCTAGAAATTTTAAAGAAAAACTAAAAGCATCTATTTTCATCATATTTCGATTAGACAGAATCCATCAGAGCTGTTGATTGTTGAGTGTTTGTATGTGTGTATGTGTGAATGGGTGCGTGCGTGCGTGAGTATGTGTGTGCATGCGTTTGTAATACTCATGGCGCACCGGCAGTGGAATTTTAGTTGCCACGGGTGTTTCCCCGCCGGGCGCCTTATCACGTCGGGGTCACGGGGGTCAGCTCCCTGTCGCCGCTCTGTCTGGGCCGACTTAATTTTTGGTACTTTTCAACGTACAATTTAAGGTATATCCTTGTATTTATGGTAATTCTCATTTAGTGCACCCAAAGTAAGCATTTCTGCTCTTGAGACTCAAAAAAGAACGGACGTTGTAACTTGTCTGGTTATTTCGTTAGACGCGCTGGAGTCGGCTATGCTAAATTGTATATTTTTTGGACTAGCGTGAATGAAAAAAAAAATCAATATAAAAAAAAGGCATCGTCAAAATCTGTCGAACTTTTGGAACATGAAGGACATAACATTGGTGCAGATACTCAGAAAAGATGGTATCTGCGCTTATAATAGAAGGCTGTAATTTTGCAACTTTATCCATCGGGCACACAATTCGCTATGAATTTATTCCTCCAAATTCAACTTTATATGTCTAATATAATCGTGAATATTCACATATTTTCTCGAAAGTTGATAAAAGTCACCATGAAGTTTCTCTATGAAAAGTACAAATCGATTTTAGTGCTAGAATACATCTTCAACGTAGATCTAATACACGAACAGTATCTGTTACACTCCAGAAATTCCTTACTTTTCTTAAAACGCTAAGTCTAGGTTTTGTAATTTGAATGAATAATAGGGATGACTTCTCGTAATTGGGTTATAAGAATAATTTCTAGCTTTCCAGGGACACTGAATTAGCACCAGACTTTTCCTGCTTTATTTTTCGTTTCTATGACCATTTGCAATAACTGACAATGTGACTGATTTCTTTACATTCATAATTGTGTCCGCGCATATTTCCGACACAAAAACTAAGAATGAATGTGTAAGCTGTCATTATTTTTATTCCATACAAGAAGTTTATCTCTACCCATGTATTTACACGGTTTTGTGGTTTTTTTAATTGCTTAGATTCTATATTATATCTTTTTAATTGTATGCAGGCTGCCACAGACACAGCATGATTCATGAACAAACGCAGAGTAACTTTCTCTTGTTTAATAGTAAAATAAGAGCTAACGCTGATCATCTTTAGTTAATAAATGCAGATGTGAATCTTTCTTCTCGTATAACTTGACTATTTCTACTAGCGCAGATTTAAGATTTCTCATGGTAAAAGACATGATATTCGTAGTCAGTTTAACACAGATTTTGGAGAGATCTATCGTGCTTTTAAAAAAATTAACAATCATTTATTCATAGGTTTGTAACTAGAATAGGACAAATTGGGTACTCTACAAAGACTTGCTTAGAACAAAAACTAAGGCACAGAAATTAACCATTCTAACGCAGAATAAATCTTTAGACATTGAGCTTTTAGCACATCCGCGTAATGGTTTGCTATGTGGGATGGGGAAGAAGTTATATCGTTTTATACATAGTCAAAAAAGCGAACTTCCTGACCGACACCGGCAAAGTCGCCTCAGGGCTCATTAACCCCGTGACCCCGAGCCGGGGAGCTCCGGCGGGCTGCTGATTCACGCGAACTAAAAGTAACAGAGAATCGGGCGAAAAGTGACGCCGTGTACTATGTGCCTATGAAATTGATTTGTAATTCCATATGTGTCATGTCAAGCGCATAGAGCATTGCATAAGCGGTTATGCGCTATATAAATGCAATCCATTACTATTATTATTATAATTGTGGAGAAATTGTTCGTCCTGCAATTTGCAAGCGACTTCACTGAATTCGAGTTTGCTAATCGATGTGTTCACTGAATAGGAGTTATTTTGTTGATTTTAATGAATTAAAAAAAAAGGAATCTGCCTCCTTTAGCTGATTCTGAGTTCAGCGCAGCCAAGTTTCATTATATAAGACAGGTTTACCCAATTCATTTTTGGCAGAGGAATCGTAGCGTTCCCGTTTATCTTGTTTGAGTAAAGAGATGTACATCTTCACAATATTGGCCTTTCTTACAGTACTTGGTAAAAGGCAAGATTGAAAGACAAAATCAAGAAAAGGAGAGTAAAGAAATAGTCTTTGGGAAGCATGCACATTTAAGGCCTCTTTAGTACATTGAACAGATGACATTAAGACCACAGGGTAATAGTAGCACTTAGAAAAAAAGAAATGGAAGTAGCTGACCGCACACCAGTGCATATTTTATTCAATGCAAGACATTCCAGCATGATCGCAAACTAAAAATACGACTAGACCATGAAATGTACATCTTGGTGGAACGTGCACAAAAAATGGTCAAACCTGCTGAAAAAAATAAAAGCACAAAGGAATTCCAAAAGTTTGTGCATTCTTTAATAAATTTAGCGTCACAATATTTTTTTCTTAAACAACAAAAACGGAAAACTATTCAGTTACTCATTCTAAGCATTTCATTAATTAATTCAAATCGGCCAGAATTTTAAAACTTTACAACAAAGAAAGTTCAGAACTTTCATGTAAGTGCAACAACCATTAAGCAAATCATTTCGTTTACCATAACGGTAACAAATAGCTCTCTTCTCATAGTAGCCAGGTCACTCTGCCCCAGACTGAAACAAATAAAAATGTTCAAACTCCACATTTGGTAAAGCTGTACACAGTTGGAGGGAAAAAAAATTGCAAAATGGGTGGCAGTGAAAAATCTCAACTTAGAGTAGACCTATTAAATTTGATTCACGAACCTGTCACAACTGCAAATTTTTTAACACCAAAGTGTGCACTCAAAATCACTCGGAGATAACAGCAGACATTTCTCAACCAACACATTATAAACAAGAGACAGTAAGTGTTTTTGCCTGACCCAATGTCTAAATCCCAATAGAAAAAGTCATGTCAGGAGTTTGTACACATATTACGACTGAAAATCTGCATTATTAAAGCTCACTTTCCATCAATCAATACAAAATGACAAACCCAAAATCTACATCATTCAAAGAATGAGAATGTACACATGTGCTCTAAATACATGCATGTATTGGCATAATGTCTAACAAATGACAAAACTTTTACAATGTGCCAGAGTCCAAATTAGCTGACAAGAGCTTCATGTGAAATGCAATGGTCATGTAAAATTATTAAAATTAAAGTTTAATTCAAATCATTAAAAAAAATAGTATGCTATTGAACCATTGTCCAAACTTTTACATACATTTTTACACAGTAGACTTTTTGCTACAAATTTAAAAATTAAAACCCTCCATATTTTCATTTTTGTATAATGCCAACGTATCTCCAAATGATTTTCACATGTTCTGTGAACCATGCAGATTATGAAAACAGAGAAGTCAACTGACAAACGAAATAGAAACATCGCAGACGTTAGAACCAATAGATTACAAAAACAAACAAACTTTCTAAAATTTCTAGTTCACTTGTGTGTTAACTTTCAGAGGGAGCCTCAGCTGTTTACAGACCTCTTCTTTCCTACTCTAATTCATTTATACTGTGCAGTCCTACAGGACTGGCATACATGATGGCGGTAGTAAAAGAAGCACATTTGACGCTCATTTGTTCATATATTCATAGTACACAAATGAGCAATTTGTACAATTCAGCCTTTCTACATAACTTCAACTTCAAACCAGTACGTCATGTCTTTTTAGTCCAAACGGTGAAAGTAAAGTTTACCCTTTCATTTTGAACCTAGTGTAGATGTGCCAAACACCCCAGGACCAAAAATAGGACTTTTGGGGTAAAAATTGGAGTCTCCGTTACCCCAGCAGGTTAAGATTATGTAACAAACCGAGAGTGGCAAATATATGGTATAGCAAATACACACAAATAAAAACGTGTATTTTCATACCAATTATGATAAGTCGCATACGACTGACGGAAACATAATTCAAGAAAGAAAAAAAAATTGGATTTTAGGCAAATCTAATAAGGGATTCGATGGACTAAACAAAACCAGATGGCTCCAATTTTATTGAAATACTTGGCAAGTCCGCTACAGCTTTCTCCACCACCTCATTAGCTAACCAAGACCTTACGGTACGGTACATGTTTCTGAACCACCCCAATACATTGAGCGAGTCTGCACCACTTCAAAAGCTAAAAACACATTATCAAGCTGCTCAGCAGTCCTTCAATAGCTACCAACAACACACTGTCAAGCTGTTTTGCACTCTTCTGCAATAGCTACCAACACACTGTCAAGCTGTTCTCCAACACTTCAATAGCTACCAACACATTATCAAGCCGTTGTGCACCACTTCAATCACTGTCCGACCCAGACTTGGCCTGGTCTCCCCCAGACCCACCACCACCGGCCTCATCCCCAGATTTTCCGCCCGCCTCATCCCCTGACCCAGCTCCAGACTTGTTCCCCTCTCCGTCGCTGCCCGACCTACCACCACCACCACCCTCTTTGCCACTCCCTTCTCCATCAGAATTCGCCGCTTTTGCCGATCCAACATCGGAACCAGACTTGTTTCCCTCGTCGCCAGAGCGCGACCTTGACCTTGATTTGGACCGTGACTTTGACCTCCCTGAGCTGCGTGACCCAGAACGCGATCTTGACTTCCTCTCCGAGCCGGAGCGTGAGCCTGACCTTGACCGGCGCTGACCCTCATTCTCCGACCCAGATCCCGACTTCTTCCCTCCTTCTCCTCCTCCAGCATCGCTGTCACTGCCAGAGTCGATGATGCGACGACGCTTGCCCTTGGCAGCATTGTCCTCGCTACCACTGCCGCTGCTGAAATATAAAAAAACAAAATATGTATTAGAAACACACACACAAAATAATAAATAGTCCAAATTCTCCAAAACACTGTCAAAAATAAAAATAAAACAGTTGTCTTAGATAGGCGGACATCTTTGTCAATATTAGAAATAATAAATTTTTTTTGACGCAGGGGGGAAAGTGGGTAGTGGTCCTCTGTACAGGTGATTGTCGTGGACAGGTGGCCTTTAGACCAGGTTCGAAGGCTAAAGAAACCCAGGACAAAATTCTTCGCAAAGTAAAACAAGTCCAATGAAGTACAAGAAGAGCGTCAATACTACAGAATTCAACCCTAAGGTCCCCGGCACACGCGAAGTGAGGGTTATTGTTGTTACTATTCAGCGCATAGAATGCATGCCAAGAAAAGTAAGAAAGACTACCAGCAGGCAAGCACGATTTTTGCATTCATAGTCAACATCTAGCTTATTCTTTTAAAATCACATGCATCGTGGAATCAAATTCATACTAATCCAACAGAAAAGTAAGGCAAAACAATACATAATTGCAAATACCATTTCCACTGATGCATGAATGGTAAATGTATGTCTCCATTAAACAAACACATAACAATGAAATACAACAGAAGAACCCCCCATCCCATTAAAAAAAAACTCTTAGTACATGGTGCACTAATTCAGCAGGTTCATGGCATCACTCGATTGTGTGTACAGTTGTGACAAAAATCTACGAAACGCTCGCAAATCATTGCTTTACTATAATCAAACTGTTCATTTCTACTCAGTTCGGTGTTGATATTGTGTAAAAAGGTCAAACAAGAGTGGAGTGAACAAGGAAAATAGCCTCGCGTATACTAGGAGTTAACGACACTCTACTTACTCTTGGAGTCTTTTCTTCCGCGTATCAGAGTCAGAGCCTTCACTGGACGAGATGACCGCTTTTGACACAATTTTCCTCCTCTGTTTCGCTGTTAGTCCATCATCTTCCTCCTTCTGCTTCTTTTTCTTCTCCGCCTTCCCTTCTTTGCCTTTCTTCTTTTTACCACGTTTACGATCTCTGTCTTCATTTTCGTCATCACTGTCATTGACAAAATCGTCTTTCTTTGATCTGAAACAAATAGAAACCAACATTACCATGTGAAAGCAAAAAAAAATAAAAAAATAAAGATAACACAATACAACATGAAACACAGCAAACAAAATACTGTGCACAGGCTGCTAAAGAAAAACTCCAACACCCATCTTATACATGCCTACTTTACAAATTGAGAGGGCAACACATTTGATTCAACCTTTCAAGGAACAACGTAGCTTTAACCTTTAGAAAACTGCTGGGTGAGTTGCTGCCTTGTACAAACATCAACTTTCTGCTTTGGGGAGTTTTTGTCAAGGCTGTGGTAAATCACCCCTTTTGAGGCCAAAATTATTACGGTTGATGCCCACGTTCTATGTAAAGAACTTCAGTATCGATTTGTACAAACGCCCTTTTAAGCAGCCGGAATTCAGTGCTTTCAAAGCAACTTATACATTATAGCTTTCATCACTTCTTACTTTCTCTTGATCTTCTTCTTCTTGCGTTTCTTGTCACCCTCATCATCATCCATCTCAGAACCGCTGGAAGACCCCTTCTTCTTCTTCTTCTTTTTCGGACGCTCCTCCTCGCTCCCCTCAGACAAAATCTCGCCATCTTCCGCTCGCTTGGAACGCTGAGGGGAAAAAAAAAGACGAAATGATCGCTACCATACCACTTCACAAGAACCACAAAGCCCTCCACTACTAAATTATGATAACATGCTCACATGAACTGATTTTGGCATGTATACCGTACCTCCACAACCTGTTGTTTTTTTCCCCCCCCCACGGCTACTGTGTCAGACCATCTTCTTCTGCAGTCCTTCATTGATGGACATACAGGGTCACCAACAAGGAAGTATTAAGAAGAATGAGTCAGAGATGAGGCGGGAAGAAGGCGTTGGTGAAGGATTGGAAACACTCTCAGGAAGTCAAGCAGCTGCATTACAAGGAAAGTGTGAGACTGGCACCCACAGGGTAAAAGTTCAAGGGAAAAACCATGTGGAACCTGGAGAAGAGTCACGGAAATGTAGGTACAGAAAAGTGGGAAGACATGGAGTGACATGAAGCGGCTAGCCTAGGATAGGGAAAGTTGGGAAGTGTTTGTTCATGGTCTATATCCTGATCCAGGGTGAGAAAGGCAATGAAGATGATGATGTCAGACTAGTCAGCATCATGAGTGGAAATGATTGGGTTTAGGTTGTGTAGATTTGCCTCCAGTGAAGAGTCATCACCCAAAGAAAAATCCTCATCAGACTCACGTCTCGATTGTCAAATCGGAAAGGGACTCTGTTATCATCGGTAATCAACTGGCCTGTCAAATTGCAGGCACCGCTGACACTATGGTTGAAATTTGTCAGTTTCCTTAAACAAACAAAAAATTTCTCATACCCTTATATTGCGTGATAAAATCCTTTTTTTTGGTAAGTGTTTTATGGCACTCGTAACTGCATAAGGTCATACGAGCGTGCAGGACACATTAAACTTTTTTTCAGTTGGCAGAAAATTTTGAATTTTGCAGGCGTGGCGGCCGAAGCTTACTCTTATCAATTTTAGACTACCAAGAGATCTTCAATGAGCGCAACTTGCAAACAGGCCCTCTGACATTTTTCGCCCTTGTCAGAGAAGGCTAGGTGTAGATATTTCCTACCAGAAGATCAGGGGTGTGGCAGAAAGACAGTAGTAAGAAGGAGCCAGGGAGTAGCAGTAGAAAGGCTGCAGAAAGAATCAGGAGCCCAGAGGAGGTGAAAGGGTGGGGGCAGAAAGAGGAGACGAAAGGAGACAATTTAAGAGAAAAACATTTTTCGGTCACTACCCGGATTCGAACTCGGGACCTTTGAATGAGAGGCCAACACCTTAACCTCTAGGCTGTGAGAGCCCCCTAATAATTTCTACAGCAGTTCTAGCAGTATGGAAATCTAAACTTAGTAAATATTGTTGTTTCACTGATCACTGTGAAATTTTGGGTCTACACTTTTAGTCACTATGGTGAGCAGGAAATTGAGCGGATTGAAAGACTTAGTGTTAATTATAAATGAAAACACACACGAAAGGAAAAAAAACAACAAACCAAAAAACAAACAAAAACAACCCACAGCATTATAATTTTTGGCTTTGGAGGCATTTTCTACAATTGATAAACAAAATTGAAGTCTGGGATTTCAAAACTGGGGGAAAATTCCTCTTACCTTGCCACCTGACTTCCGAGGCCTGTCTTCTGCCTCTGGTTCCAGGTTGATCTTTTTGGCCTTCTCCACAAACACGGCTCTCTGCTCCAGCATTTTACGCTCCATCTCCTCCTTCTGCTTCAGTTTCTCCATCTGAAGAACAAAACCCCAAAGACAAGGTCAAAACGGTTATCTTCAAGCTTTGTCAAGCTCAAGACCTCAGCAATGTATGAACAGCAGGAGGAATCTCTCCCATTTTACACACACATGATCTATGCAAAAGCTCACTGTCAATTTCTTCTGAGGAGCCAAGCTAGTTTGAGCAAAAAGCACATCAACACACAGTTAGTTATCCAGTGCTAGGACAAAGCATGCCTGATGAGACAGACCCCAACAGAAAGAGTACAGAATTATTTTTTTTAAAAAAAAGGTCCTACCAGTGGCTTACTCTAATAACCCATAGACGAGAAAGAAAATTTGATCTGACATATGCATGTATGACCCACACACAACCAAATACCGACAAGAAGAAAGAGAGATACACTCAAACACACAGTCCACATGAAAAAAAAAAGGCCACAAGTAAAAATACTGATATGTACCTTAGTAACAAGTAGAGAAACCGAAAGAAAAGATAAGACAAGAAAAGATATTCTCCTCATCCTCTGTTGGATGAAATTAATAGAGGAGAGAGCAAGACAAAAAACAGAACAAGAGGGACAATTTCCTCAAGACATACCATATCTGTTTGATGCTTCTGTTTGATTGCCTCCATCTCTTCTTCCTGTCTCTTCCGGATTTCTTTCTCCTCCTCATCAATTTTTCTGGCGCGGGCCACGTGGTACTGTGCCTGACTCAGCAGATCAGAGCATTGCCTGAGGGAAGAACACATGAGGCCTTGGTGAAATTCACTGGACATCTTTTACGCCCCCATCAACACAAATTCGACAATTTACAAGACACATAGGTTTTGGTTCCAAACTTGTTACGCGTTTGGGCTGTCAATGAATATTATTCTAAATGTTTTTGGTGGGCATTTTGAAAGACAGTAGTGTGCTATGGAAAGTTTGTCTAAATATATTTACATTCGTTCTCTCAAACAGGCTGTAGTGCTATCCTCAATCTGGTCATAGGGATAAGCTGCATTAGGCAACACATCAACAAGATCACGATCACATCTCCCTACAAACAATTCTAGCCTAAAGCAATTCGTCAGCCAGCTGTTAAAATGTACTATGCCCAAATTTTGAAAATTATTTCAATTGCATTTTTTAAATCTATGGTATCAGTTGCATATGCTCAAGAAATATTGTTGAAATTCAAATCCTAAATGTTGAAAAAAGAAAAACTACATAATGTAGGTACAATTGCTTTAAGAATGAAAGAGTTTTGTACCTCTCTCCTGTAAAATTAGGCTTTCTTGGCTTAGTACACTTTAACAGATGTCTGACATAGTAGTACGGTACTACCAAAGAGAAGTGGTAGGACATAACATCATTTTACTGTAAGATGCACATGATAGAATATGTTTCTGACTGGAGATAAAAGGTGTTCAGCTAAAAAAGATAAAAATTGCCCTGTGGGCTGAAAAATGCTGGTTTCTTCAGTATCATTTTATGACAAGCGCCTGATTTCACCACGATACCTCACTTGTTAAAAAAAAAGGGGGAATTATATCCTTCCTAATCCCAGGAGGCTCTAAGCACTGTAAAAAGCAGAATTATAATCACTTAACTTTACAGATGAATCAAAGGACAGAAAATGCACATTATGAGACCATTTAACAACACACGCACACACACACACTGGTCTGTCTCACACACATTCTCAAACATGATAAAATTGTATACTGAACAGCCTTCTGCATGTCCTGACTATGAACTCACTGTGCTTCTGCTGCGGCCTGGGCCAGATCAAACTTCATCCTGTCTCCATGCTGGTTCAGATAGGTGAAGTAACTGGAACAACATGAGTAAATCACTGTGTTATCTAAATGTGACAATTATCATCAGATAGGTGAAGGTGAAGTAACTGAAACAACAAGAATAAATCACTTTGCCTGTTATCTACAATGTGACAATTATCATCAGATAGGTGAAGTTACTGAAACAAAAAGAAAAAAGTGTTTTATGTAAATCCAAGTACAAAGAACAATAACTGTGAAAAAATAAATATTAGCTCATATGAATGAAAAAAAAAAAAAAGAGACATATACACACTCACTCATATACATTATTATAAGCGAGCTATACAGGAAGCTGCAAATGTATTGAAAAGTTACAGGGTTTGTTGGGTATGTCATGGTAATAACGAACTGTAAAGGAAACAGAGCTTAAATTTGAGAAGGGACATGCCCTGCATTAGAGTTTGCCAACCGGGGTGAAATAGCTGACTAGTGGGCAATTTTGCTATTTTGCTGACCAGTGGGGATCATTCAAGTAGAGACAGGTATTGTTTAATGCCCCTCTTGGATATACATTGCTACCTTAGGATTACCAAGTTCTATCTGCTTAGCACCTAGTTTTGAGAAATTTGACAGAAACGATTTTGAGTCGCACAACATGTCAAGCTTTTGAGAATACAATTCTTTGAATACCTTGATAACAATTCCCAATAATCTCACAATTTTGATAGAGCAGATAAAAACATTATATTTCTGACCTTATGGTCTTAGTATTTCAAAATGACCAAAAATGTCAGACAGAACATTGTAATTATACACTAGTGACATGTATGTGGATGACACAAAAATGTTAGCCTCTCAACTCTTTTCCTACCAGGCCAAAATCCACCACTGGCCCGGGGCTCTTCCCTGACCTATTTTTACGCCCCTACCCTGCCAAAGGAAAATGTTAAAACATCCAACTAAATACACACAAACCATATCATATCGCCCATCAAACTGAAGGTTAAAAAACATTATATCAGATGGCAATACAATATTGAAGATTTATTCCAACTATATTAGTTTGGGGTTTCTAAAAGTGATTAAGCAATATCGAAGGTGTCATATGAAATCAAAAGTTTTCCCGCTTTGAGAGGTCATATCTAAAAAAGTACAACAACAGCATCATTCAAACTTCCCAGGTAGGTTGCCTCCAGTAATGCAAAAAAAGACCGAAAGTTATGTATGTGTACATAATATAGAAATGAAAATATGAGACAAATACTGAAGTCAGGGGAGCGCTTTTTTCTCTCTCTTTTTTTTACGTTTCGAAAGGGACAAAAAAAGCGCTGAAATGACTAAAAGTCGTCTCTCAGTGCTATATTTTCTTTCGTATCTGCTAACAGGAAGTCTATTCTGTTATTTTTAAAACGTGGGTCAGCCGAGAACTTCACGTCTTTTGATTACTGGATTGGAATAGATAGCTGCCCTAGATAAGTTTAAAACCCTTTACCTATTACTACTGAACGTCCAAAGCTGGTGCGACCTACCCATGAGCCAGTTCCAAGTCACGGACAGCTATCAGCACTTTCTTCAGGTTACTCTTTTCGTCTTTGAGGATCATGGTGGCCAACTTCTGCTGCACCAGGGCGATGTTGTACAACAGCACCGTGTCGTTGGGGGAGACGTGGCGGGCCTGGGGGATAACATAACATTGTCACATGAGATGACTCAGCAGCAAGTCTTACAGAGGTTGACAAAAAATAATTTACACAGATTGACACAGCAACATAGACAGGTTCACACAGCAACATATCAGGTTGTTTAGTTTTGGTAAGAGTTTTACGGCACTTGCCACACAATAAGGTCAAAGACTAGAGGTGTTACAGAGAGTAACAAATATAAAAAAGAACGAGTAGAGATAAAGACTATAGATGTTTGATAGGAAAGAAGAAGCAAACCACACCAGAGCACCTGCCAACCACCCACTTAGACAGGTTGATACAGCAACATAAACATACAGGTTGATACAACAACATAAACATACAGGTTGATACAACAACATAAACATACAGGTTGATACAGCAACATAAACATACAGGTTGATACAACAACATAAACATACAGGTTGATACAACAACATAAACATACAGGTTGATACAACAACATAAACATACAGGTTGATACAGCAACATAAACATACAGGTTGATACAGCAACATAAACATACAGGTTGATACAACAACATAAACATACAGGTTGATACAGCAACATAAACATACAGGTTGATACAACAACATAAACATACAGGTTGATACAGCAACAGTCTTTCAAGCTGCCCCCCCCCCCCGAACTGAAATTCAGGATAATTGGCAAGCCTAGAATCAGTTTAAATAAGAGTTTAGCAGCTCTCGTAACTCGAATGGGTTAATTAAGTGCCGACACAACAGAGGTCATTTAGTGCTAAGGAAAAAGAAAGAAAAAAACTGACAGAAGTAACAGAGGAAAAGAAAAAAAGGACCCACCAACAGCACCCTCCAACCACCCAGAAAGTTTCAAGGTTCATATAAGTCGCCATTGGTGGTTTGTGAGTGCTCTGGTGTGGTTTGCTCCTTCTTTCCTATTAAAAATCTATCGTCTTTATCCCTCCTCTTTCTTTCCTGTGTTTGTTCCTCTCTTGTAACACTTCTAATCTTGTGCACTTAAATGACCTAATTGTGTTGCAAGTACTGTAAAACACTTACTAAAACATAAAACATAGAGTCCCAGAACACAATGATCACAACAAATACCTTGAGCAATGTCTGCTTGCACTCTGCCAGTTTTCCACACTTGAAATACGCTCTGGCTAGGTACACCATCACCTCTACATTGTGGTTCTTGAAAAACTTCTTCAGACAGTTCTCGTACTGGAAAAAACCCAACAAAACTCTCTGTACTCTTCGATTGCAATTTTGTAACTGTTTGAGAAAAGAACGATTGTGTATCCCAGTAGCGCATACAACCTGAAAAAAGTTCTTTCTTACCCATATTTCACGTAACAATAATTGCACCAAATTTGATTGTCACGAGCTACGTATCATTGCTAAAAGTGTGCAATTATGACATCCTGAGAAAGAATGTAGCAAATTTGAACTTTCACCATCTCATAAATCATCAACCAAAGTTTACACTTTAACCAGCTTGCCTACCGAGAAACATTTATCCTAACAAGTCTGAATTTTGTCTGTCTCACCTAAGAAAAGTTGACTGGATCGATAACAACAACATTAGCAAAACAATAGCATTATTTTCATCTTAAGTAACACAAAAAGCATAAAGTAAGTGATTGTAAAGCGCATAGACCTTGCTGTTGAGCTGGGATATGTGCGATACAACAGCTATTTATTATTATCATTATTATTATTATTATCATAATAAGTGTAAAGCACTCAACTCACCATCTGCACTGCGGCCACATACTGCTTCTGTTCCACGTAGATGTGAGCAATGTTGAGCCACACATCACAGAAGTCGGCCGTGGCTTCACGCACCTGAGCAAACACGTCACGAGCCTCATTGATGCAGCCTTTGTGAGCCAAAACACACCCTGGAAGTCGGAGGAGCATTTAAAATAAGGTGAGATTTTTTGTTGTTGTCTGTTTGAGTACAGAGAAGCACATCGACACGATAATAGCCATTTAACGCAAGGAGGAAAACATGCAGGAAGAATCAATGGAAGGAAAGAAAAGAAGTATGATCTACTAATAATGCCCTCCAAGCACCCACCAAGAGCAATTTTGAACAGTGCTGCATTTATAAACAATCAAAATATCCAAGGGCTTAGAGAAAAATTGGAAAAAATCCACATTACGACTACCTTTGACCCCAGTCAACTCTGATCTCCTTCAGTCGCAAATAGGTCAACATTTATTCAAGTTAGATGAGGCTGTTTCTTTTTTTTATTTAGTCAAAAGCAGGAAAAAAGAAAAAAAGCCTTAAAATTATACCAATACCTCCACATCCTCAAAAATTGACGAGAGCCTGAAAACATTTTGTCTTAAGATACCTTTTCTAATACACAGTACTAAAAACTAACCAATGCCGCAAGCTGCCCAAATATTCCTCGGGTCATTCCTCAGCACTTGTTTGTACATAGTCAGAGCTCTGTCTTGATGTCGCTTTTCCTGAGGAAGAAAAGATGGAAGGGTTAAAGCAAAAAAGTTTCAATGCACTTGCAACACAATTAGGCCATATAAGTGCCGAAGATAAGAGATGTTACAAGAAGGTAACAAACTAGGGTTGGGTCAGGCTCGCAAAATTAGCGTCCGCTAGTAACGAACTACTCGTTGGCACTACCCGCAAACGAGCAGACGGGTAACGAACCGTCCGTTTGCGAAGAGTAGTTTGCTACTCGCCACACATCGTGCAGAGACAACAGTTCGTTTAGTGAGCGAGCAGACGGGCGGACCGAGAGACTCCATACATTCGAGTGGACGGACGGACGGACGGGAACGACTCCTTCCACTGCCTACAACTCCCCTCCCCCTAAAAAAAAATTAATTAAAAAATCACCCTCCTGCCTCACATTGTAGCTAGGCGTTCATGGCGGAAATCCCCCCCCCCCCCACCCCTAGCCTTTGAGATAATTGGAACGTACACAGTGTGCCCCACGCACGAGGTGAAAGGTTACACACATAGTACTACGTCACCAGCATCTCTCACTCCATGTGGCACCGCAAGTGGTTTGAAACATCAGGCCTAATTAACAAGACGACAGGTCTAATCTCGCGTCGAGTATCTCGTTTGCTAGAGTTCGTCCGTTCGCCCGCCCAGTGAATAAAATTGTGGAGCGGACCCAAAAAACTAACTGACTTGAGACTTGAGGTCCGCAGTCTGCTCACTGAGAGCCAAATTGTGCAGCGGACCCAAAAAAGAACTGTCTTGAGGTTCGCAGTTCGCTCTCATGGCCGTCCGTTACCCGTTCGCTCTGACTGAGCCCGCGAGTAACGAACCCGTCCGTCCGCTCGCCCCAACTCTATAACAAACACAAAAAAGGAGGAGTGATAAAGACAATAGATGTTTGATGGAAAAAAGGAGCAAGCCACTCCAGAGCACCTGCCAACCACTCACGATGTCAAGGTGAAGTATCCTTTGATGAATCAGCACAATTTGTTAGTTTGAGCTAAAGAAAAGCACACAGACATGACCACAGCCATTCAGTGCTTTAAAAAAAATACCACAGACTAAAGCAACAGAGACAGAAAAAAACTTGGGTCCACTGCTCACAGACAGCAAGAGCGGAATTGCTCATCTTGAAGGTCACACCGGCCGGCAGCTATATGTGATCAGGGAGGGAAACAGCCGTGGACAACAACAACAACCCAGCACCTACCTTCTCCCTGTCTCGCATGGGCTGGTGCAGTGTCTGCAGCCACACGTTGCCCAGGGCGATGAGGCAGTACGCGTCGTCTTTGGTGGACTGCCTCTGGAGGATGCGCTCAAACTTCTTCTGGCCTGGCCCCCACTCCTGCTTTGCCAAATGCAAGTTGCCTATTAGGGACCAGGCGTCGGGGTGGTCCTGTCAACAAAAAAAAAGTATGTCAGCTTGGTTTTATAAAATTCACAAATTGTCTTGGTGCTCATATGACCTTATGCAGTTGCGAGCGCCGTAAAACCTCTACTAAACAAACAAACAAATTGTCTGAAAAACTAACGACAAAAACGCACTCTTTTTAAGGCTAGAAATGTATATATTTATATGGTACACAACAGCAACGGCCAATATTTTTTTACTCCCCCTTGTTTTGTATATTTGCATCACGTCTATCCACTTGACTGACCACACCGTCTCCCTGTTCCAGATTGACTATACATAGTCTGTCCATGCTAAACTGACTATACACTCTCTCCATTCTACCCTAACTATACGCAGTCTCTCCATGCTTAACTGACTATACACAGTCTCTCTGCCGCAGACTGACTATACATAGTCTCTCACTCTCTCTATTTCTCTACCGGACTGACCGTTCACAAAAGTTTTAAAAATACTCAACATCGAAAGAAAAAAAAGAGAAAAAAAAACATCTAGGAAAAACTGATTTTAATAACTTTACAGTGTTGACAGGGGATAAAGGGGATAAACCTATACCATCTTTAACATCACACAGCTCTTTGTTGCCTTGTTGCCAGACAACACCGAGAGAACTCTGGTCATCCACAGAAAAAGACCTACTTGATTGATTTGGAGAGCTTCTTTGAACCAATCAGACGCCTCATAAATCTGCCCTCTGTCCCTGGCCATGCAGCCCAAGCGCAAGTAGCCTGGGGAAAACAACAATAAAAAAAAAAATAATATACATATTAATAAACAGTTGGACAGGTACTGATGCAGAGGATTCCATACACAACACTGCTCAATGCTCACAAGAATTTCCAAACAAATTTTCAGGTACTTCATGCTCTACTTTCAGATGATAAAGTCTACCATTTCTTCTTAAGCTGGATGAAAAAAAACAACTTTCCGGACTTCAATTTAATAAATGACAACGTTGAACAAAACTGCAACTTCTCCATGCTCCTTTATGGATAGTTAATGAGTATCGTGTAAAAAAAGAATATTTGCAAGGACAAAAGCTGATTGGCAATACCCTTTTTTTCCATTCCCAGTATGAAAGAAATGCCAAAACTTTTGCAATATGGGTCCTCTTCCTTTTAAAAAAATAAAAAATACAAGATACAGTAATTATTTTCATGCCTTTGTGATAACAGTGAAGCCATAGCATTTCTTCTCATTCCTGGAATACAGCCAAACCTGCTCAACAGTCATTACTGTACAAATGACCACTTCCCATTTCTGACCGCTGTATTTTTTCAAAAGTACTATAATGACAATGTTAAGACGTCCACATGTCTAAGACAACCACTTTTCTCCTCGACAATGGGTGACCGTCTTAGACAATTTCAACTGCATTTTCTTCTGTCACAATTCTTATTGACAAAGAGCTCCATCTCCAAAATACTGAGAAGGGTGTTTATTTTAGAAACAATAAAAAAACATTTCTCCTTTCACCACACTGAGGCAAAATGTTAACTCAAACTGGTAATATCCAGACTTCCTGTGCAGTGAAACACAACAGAGAAAAAAAAATCCCCCCCCCAAAACAAACAACCAAAAAAAAACATGCCACCCCAAACCGGGAGTAAAACCATTCTGATAATAATTAATTTAGAGACGTCAACCCCAACTCACAGTCCACATAGTTGGGATGGTCTCGAAGAATGTTTCGGTAGAACTTATCCGCCTTGTCATACTCGTGCAAGGCCTCGTACAGTCGGGCCAGGTTGTACGTGGTGGTCACTGATATGGCACTGTAATATGTCTCATCGTGCTGGGCATCTTTCTTTGACCGGTCCAGGGATGCTTCATAATATTTCTTCAGACACAAGTAAAAACACAACCAAAACTTGAATTAACACAAATATTCCTGGGAGCATTAAGGAGCATCGAGAATAATGACAATTAAAACCATTGAAGGCATAAAAAGAGAACTGGAAAATAAAAGCAGTATAGGCCCTACTCTCATCTTCAGCTCGTCATCCTGTCAAAGTTTGAGCAAAGAGAAGAGCACCAACGCAATAATACCCATAATTTAGCAAAGGAAAAAAAAAGCATGACAAATGGACAGAAACAACATAAGGAGAGGAAAGAAATAGTGCCCCCAAAAAACCTACACACTGTCCAAGGCCATTTTTTGTTTACCCAATCCATTGTAACTCAGCTTTAAACAGGTTCTTCTGTACAGGGCAAGTAGCTGATTGGGACAGTGAGTCAGTACAACAGCAGCCACATCTCCTCCCCCCCTAACAAAGTTAAACTGGGGCAAAAACAAATGCAAAGAAATAAAAGGAACAAACCACACCCCATTGCAGCACCCACCAACCGCCTGCAGAACACCAAAAGGTTAATATTATCTAATATTATCTATATTTTCTAAAACAGGATACTTCTACCATGCTGCTTGGTAAAGTAAACTGGTAGTATACAGCAAGTACGAGCAATACAGGTCACTGTTCATCAGAGAGAGAAGAGGGGAGCCATAGACACACAAAGACAGAGCAGACCACACCAAAGCACCAATCCAACATACACTGCAGTGCACTAAATAAATGTCACATTAAAAAAAAATACAAGTTTGATACCCTACTCTAAATATGCCCAATCTGTGTGACCATAATGAAAGTCTGCCAGAAACAAAACTGCTCAACCATTCTAGTCTTTCCACACTTCTCAAGTGTAAACGACCACATTATACTTACCCTTGAGTCTTCAAAATTTCCAAGACGGAAGTGCAGAGCTGCAACATTGTTGAGGATTTCTGGTGGGATGTCTGCTTCAACTTTTTCTTTCAAAATACGGGTTGCTGTGCCATATGCTGACAGGGCTCCCTAAATAGAAGATAAGTTTAGATACTTTAGATTATATCATTGCTGACGAAAGAATACTAAGTAACCCAAATGACCTGAATTATGTCGATGGGAGCATAAAAAACCCTCACATTAAAAAAAAAAAGGACCTCACCTGCACATCTGTCTGCTCCAAGATCTGTGCCAGTTCAATCCACGCCTCCACATCATCAGGAAACTGTTCAGTCACCTTCTTCATGTGTTGCTACAGGACAGCAGAAAAAAAATGAAATCATCAATATGAATAAATAATAACCCAGACTATGTCCTAAGGGGACGTTTAAATATAATCTTACGCCAGGAAGAGGGGGGGAGGGGGGAGTCTTTGGCTCCTGTAAGAAAAATATAACAAGGAAAATTTTTTTAGGACAACATAAAAAAAAAAGACAGTTGACTCTACACTTCGAGCGGTAAGCAAGGCATATGCCGTGGCGATACGGTGGGTCCTCCAGCGGCTAGCACGAATATGCCATCTTGCACAAAAAGTCCCCAAAAAGGTGTAAGATTATATTTGAACAGCCCCTAATTTCGTCACTTCCTTATTCAATTCACCCACAATGAATTTCGATATGACTGCACTATTCTCCAGTACAGAGATGCATTACAGAGATGTGGGCATGGACTGGCAAAAATAAATAAAAATGCAATGAAGACTGAAATTTGGAATTGCAACTTATAAAATACTACCCCCTCTTTTAATTTTAGTGGGACTTACTTTCTGATCACTGAAAACAGTTTGACCTGTAGAATATGATATAACATATAATACAAATGGAACAAATGAGTATCTTCAGTAATTCAGACTTGCAAGTTAGACCATGAGCAGTACTAAAAGCAACAGAAATACATCGAATAACATCCACATCTCTTACCTTGGCAATGTCTCTTTTATCTTGTTCCTGATGATTGGCATACAACGAACCCAGAATTTTCATTGTTTCGTAGTTGCCAGGTTGGGCTTTCAACACTTTCTCAAAACACTGAGCAGCCTGGAGGAACAAAATAGTGACTGGTTCTTAACAGCGTACAATGATGTAGTAGAGTTAAAGTTTACAGCCAGCCAGCCTGATAACGGTCACATTTCACCAATAACAGAACTTTATTATTTGAGTAGAGAGAAACATATTGATATGTGAGTGGTCATTCAGTGAAAAAAAACAAAAAACAAATAAAAAAAACCCTTTAAACTAAAAAAAAGCACGATAGACAGATGGAAACAAAAAAATTTTTTTTAACAGAAAGAAAAGAAGCAACACCTACAAGTAAAAGAGTAAACTTGTTCGGGACGTATAATTCTGATAAGAATTTCTTGACCGGTGTGGCTGCATAGATGAAGGTATTCCAGGGAAACGTTTGTTTGACATTGCTAAGCCCTTTTTATTTTGTATTTACATATCTTTGACTGTATAGCGTTGTTTTTGTAATTTTCTGTGGCGATTTGTGAAGGCAGTCAATACGACAAAGAACATGCATCTTCAAGGAATACCATACAAAAGACTATTCACAGTGACTGGAACTATTTCTTCACAGTATTTGGACTGTAAATTGTGTTTTGATGTGCTTTTAGCTGCATTATTGTTGTGTTGTAACTTAATTTTGTTTGTTTCTGCATTTTTTACTATCAACTTAGAGGAAATTTTTTTTTTTTGGGGGGGGGTCTCATACACCATTTTTGTAGGGGTCCCGGCAAAGCTAGGAATATATTCAGGCAAAATGGGTTAGATCTAAGGCAAAGTCCAAATATTAAATGTGTAGATAGTGAAAAAAGACTTTATCACAATGGAAAAAATTGACAGACTTTCAAAGTTGACCCAAAATCGCGCGCATCTGGGTGCAAAACTGATCCAAAACCTGCATCCCGAATGAGTTGAGGTAAGAAATGCTATATCAATTCTATATTGGAAAAAAACTAACAGTGTGTTTTCACCCCATCCACTGAAACAAAACATAAATATACAAAATATCACATCAACACATCAAGATGACTTTCTCTTTTCCTCTCATTTGTATCACTCATCCACTCCCTCACTCACATAACATGCAACCTTATGGACAAAGGGCATATGAAATAGAATCAACCCGAGTGAGTACTGCTCCTTAAGGCAAAAATGACTAAGTTTGTATTGCTGCTGACTGCTTAAAGTTCCTACAAACATCAATTAGATAAACAAAGTAGAAAAATAAATAGGGAAAAAAATATTTCTTACATTTTCGTTGTCACCTCTGAAGATGTACATCTGCCCTAGACCAAAGAAGGGCAGGACAAAGTTGGCTGGAGCAAACTGGGTGGACTGATAGTAGTACTGAAAAGCTTGGTCATAGTCCTCCTGGTAGACACAACAACAAAAACACATAAAAGATTAGTCGGTTCATGTAAACAGAAAACACTTTGATACAACATAAACAATATAGTGCTAAGACAAAACAGGACTGACAGACAGACACAACAAAAGAAACGTAAAGAAATAGGACCTACTAGTGGCACCCTCTAACCACCCACAGATACACATTTATCAAGGACAGAAGATGGAACTACACCACAGATGTAACATTAATTATAGTTCCGGAGGTGCCATAATAATAGCAACTTTTTGCTAGCAACAAGTCCAGACAAAGGAAAAAATTAAAATAATTTTGTTTCGTATAACTATCATTCAGCTCAGAGAAAAAATGTAACAGACTGACAGAAAATATAGTTTCTCCACAAACCTACTCTGTCTATTTCACCTAACAAAATTAGGTAATAAGAAGACCAATTAAACATCAATGCATGTAGACAGAATTCTGAAGTAGATCTAGTTCAGAATGTTAAAACCACATGCCTGAGGTTAAGTGTCAGCATGGCGACAGTGTGATCTCAAAGTTAATTTTGAAAGATTTGACTGCAACACAGAAGAGACTGAAGAGAGTATCATGTGGTGGTAACCATCATAGTTGATTGACTTTACTTTTCAAAAGCAGTACAGCTCCTTGACTATTGTCGTCACTGTGATACCATAGTTTGCCCAACATGACAGTTATATGATTCGACTATATTACGTTGGAAAATGCTTGAGAATGAGCAAACCAAGACAGTAAAGCCACAAACCTGCACATTTTTAGAAAATACAGCTCATTTGTAAAGGCACTGAAATGTTTGGCAATATAAAAAATGGGATGAACAAACAAAAATAGTGACTAAAATTACTACTGATTAAATCGGCGATGACACCACTGAGTGGAGTTACGATCAATCACTCTGGTCGTGAATATACAACAGGAACATGCCCATATCCCAAGAAGAGTTAATGTCATCATTGCTTTTATCACCCTGAATAAGGACAAAGATACAAACAAACACTTTACACCGTTCCCTATCCTAGGCTAGTCGCTTGATGTCACTCCATGTCTTCACACTTTTCTGTACATTCATTTCCGTGACTCTTTTCCAGGTTCCATGTGGTTTTTCCCTTGATCATTTACCCTGAGGGTTCCAGTCTAACAGTTTCCTTGTTATGCAGCTGCTTGACTTGCAATCCATTGCCAATGACTTCTTCCAACCTCATCTTTGACTGGGCTGTCTCATTCTTAATACTTTCTCTTTGGCGATCCTGTCTATCTGGTCCTCAGTAACTTCCTTAGACACTTGTTCAAGAAAACCTGGATCCTCTCTAAGCAAGTCTGAGATGAGTTCCATGTCTCACATCCATACAACAAGACTGACTTCACATTTGAGTTGAAAATCCTCAGTTTTGTTCGTAGTGAGATATCCCTGGTCCTCCAAATCCTGTTCGAAGAAATAAATGCAGTCTGTGCCTTTTACTCCCAAGAAAGCAGAAGGATTCGACGTCTTCCAGTGCATTTCCCTCTATTGTGACTTGCTCCTTTTGTAGAGCATCTATACTTAGGACTCGATTTTCCGGGGTGGATCCAATACTCTGACAGGTTGTTTAAAATTGTGGTCTTTGCTTGCATCTGCAAAGTCCAGATCGTCCAACTCAGGCCATGGGGTCCACTGTATGCCATTTGTGTGTCCCCTGGTGGTTTCCTTCATGAGCCATTCGATTGCCAAGATAAAGAGGAAACCTGATAATAAACATCCCTGTCTCACACCCATCTTGATCTCACAGCTGTCAGTGAGCTGGCCATCATGTATAACCCTACAACATGTCCCTTTGTACATGCTCTTGAAAGAAGAGTAAGCAACCCTGCCATAAAGAAGCTCACCTGTACATGGAACGCTCTGGCCAGCTGGTACGTGCTCTCAGCCCTCATAGCTTCATTCTCTGTATTGTGGAAGGCATGTAAAGCTAAATGCTGCACCTTCTGGTAGTCCTGGATACACACACAAAAGAAATTGTATTGGAAAGTTTCTTTCAGAGAAAGTAAAGAGTAATAAAACAGGTAGCACGATCAATTAAAAGAACCAGAAAATCATTCTTGCATGCAAATCATACACACATAACTTTTTACAACAATACAATAATCATATTGCACACTGTTACAAAAGCATACACCTAAATTCAATCATCATAACGTATTTTCTTAGAGCAGAGATCACACACCAGAGATAGTTTCCAATACACCATAAATGTAGGAACTAAAGTAGCATTAATAAGGAGAAATCACTTCCAAGAAGCCAACAGTTTAAATCAATACTGCAACATAAACATTGGTGCCACTTATTAAAAACTCTAAAAGTGAAGCCAAATCAGAATATTCAAATATTAGCTCAAATTCAAAACACTGACAATACTAATGTGTCACTGTCACAAAGAATATTAATTTCTGTAATCCTTTTTAATCTCACTATGTAAATAGTGACATAGTTAACATTCTATCTCTATGTCCAAGTAATGTAGTCGATGTTAATATTAGTCCACCAGCCCTGAGGCTCAATACCATGTTGGAGTAAAGACTTCTTATTTAAAGGTCTATCTCGTTTATTAGAGGTCCACATTTTACCAAATTTCACACATATAACAAGCATAGTAAGGAGTCTAAAAATCCGCAATCAAATTTGAGAAAAAAGTTTCGTTTCCATGGATACAGCGGCCATACTGGATTTATTGACATGTCTTATGTAATGAATACAGCACTTATTTTCATGGACATTGGTTGTTGTTTTTTTTGCATGCATGTTAGCAAACAGATCTAAAGATTTGTCTGTTGATTTTTTCTAAACCAATTAGAAAATTTTTCATTTTTGGGATTTTTTCCAGAGGGAGTATTCAAGTTTGCAAAAAATCTGTGAAAATCCACACTCCAGACACCACAGACAAAAACCTATTCCATATATCCAAAATTAAACAAACACAATTTTAGTATTACACTTTCTCTTCTTTCTGTGAAAATTTCATGAAGATTGGATGAAAAATGGTGGAGTTATAAAAAAAAGTATAGAGAAAAATTGCGTTTTGAGAAAACAGCCAATAAAGAAAAATTGAATATTGACTATGAGGAAATGGTGACAAACATGCCCGGTATGGGAAGAAATAAGGCTTTTGGGGGTTCTTATGCGATGAAATAATTGTAGCAGAGGCTGAGAAAGCTAAAAATGCCTACAACTCAAATTCCATAATTTTAAGCCGAATCGGGACTTTGGGGGTGTAGCCCCCCTTTTAAAGGAAACCCCCTGTCCTTCAATCTATCCCAACCTTCTTTTGTGTTTGTTAACTAAAGAGAAGCAAATAAACAGAAAAACAGACCTTAAGTGCAGACAAAACTTAATAAAGACAGACAGAAACAACAGAGGCAAAGAAAAAAAGTAGGACCTACAAAAGGCACCCTCCAACCATTCGCCTACCTTTTTGTAAAAGAAATGATTGGCCAGGTGATTGAGCACCATGGGATTGGATGAGTCGATCGTGTAGGCCTTGGACAGCAGCTGCACTCCGTTCTTAATAGACTCCTGAGCCTTCGAGTTCAGTTCCAAAATGGCAAGACCCACCAAGGCACCTACGCATTGCGAGTCCAACTGTAAGGCTCTCTCAAACGCCATCCTACGAAGAAATGTACAGTACAGAAACATAATGAATAAATGTAGCATAAATGTATAGTTAGTACAATGCTGAAACAATAGCATATCAGAAGAAACAATATAAAATTCATGTAAATATGAAGATAACATATCACAAGGGTTCTAGTGCTAGCTATGACCATAACTCACATATTTTGTACAGACCTCGACAACATATTTCAAACCAAGAAGAACCTGACAAATTTCAAACCAAGAAGAACCTGACAAATTTCAAACCAAGGAGAACCAGATGTGCCTCTATAGAACATTCTTTGCACAGCCTAAACAAATTTGTCAACATTTAGCTCTGTGCATTGCATTTTACCCAGCAACAGTCTGTTGTAGAGACACAAATTGATTCATATGCAGTAGTCTCCGCCTAAGATCCCGGTGCTCGAGAGCAAGGAAAATGTGGAATCTTAGGCGAACTGGGATCTTAGCCAAATGGCAGAGGGAAGAATCCACAGTAACTCATGGTGAGGCCCAACATCTGTACAATGATCTCCCCTTACTTTAAAATGTACTGACATGACTCCTGGGCTCTAAAATTGTTTACAGCAGTCAGTTTTTCCCACTTTTTTTGTTTTGTTTGGGGGAGGGTGGTGGGGCTTTAAAAAAAATATTGTGTCAGGTGGGAACCATTTGGCTTCAGGCAACGCCCCCCCTACCAAAAATGTACTGCTTTCCATCTCTGACAGAGTTCTGCGCCCATGTCATGATGCATCATGAATCGTTGGGTCATGACCACATTCACTAATTTTTAAATATAAAAAAAAAAAGAAAGGCAGGTTCACTGCCAACAGATGATTACATTACTCAAAGGCAATCGGACAGTCCACGAGTATGGGCGCCTGTCTGTCTAGGAAGTTCGAGCGCAAAACTGAAAGGCGAGAGCAATGGTCGGGGAAGCATCGACGAGTTCAGTTTGATGGAATGCAGTCTGATGCTTGCTTGTAGGCCCTCCCCACCTAGTGTGTGGTGTAAGATCAGGCGGACAGCTCAGATGATCCGGGAATGCAACAGGTCAACGAGTTCACTTTGGAAAACATGGTAACTGCTTATCGAGATTTACGACAGAGGTGTGATCGCGTTCACAAGAATGGATGATCCGTGACGTGCGTGAATGACCATACAACAATCACATATTTTCACGACATGGTTGATCAGCTGAGCGTGCCCAGGTTTCTTATTCTTTTTTTTTTCTAAAAAACCCACCAAAAAAACAAACGAAATAGTACAAATTCTGTTTTTCCAAAACGGCGGGATCTTAAGTGAACCGGGGCCATAAGCGGTGGGATCTTTGGGGGAGACTACTGTATAACAAAAGTCTCATAGCTGTAGGCCTACCTGGCTTTTGCTAGTCTGTTGAGCTTGACAAAACAATGTCCCATTCCCAATCTCACAGAGGCAGGACATGTTGGGTTGGTGCGCAAGGCTTTCTTGTAATATGCAAGAGCTCCTCTGTAGTCTTTCTTGTTAAAAGCAATGCACGCTTTTCCAAGCAGAGATGGAATATTGTTGCTTGACTAGAGGAAAATGGTAGAAGTCAGTCTTAGTAAAAAAAACATGTATCATCAGTTGAGCAAATATCTACGGTATGATTTAAAGAAATGGGGAATGCATTCTCACATTTTCAAAATTATGTAGCCGACACTATATTCAAATTTTAATGTACCTAGCAAGAACACTGTCTAAAATAATTTTCACACACCGGGAAAAGAAACAATGAGTTAGTTTCATAAGTCTTGGGACTCTTTTCACCTGAAAGCTGAAATAATTTCCATTTCACCATCTCATGAGTCAAACAGCCTTGCACACAAGTAGTACGCACTCCACACAGCTATATCTACATTTTCAGATTAAAAATTAAATATAAATAACCATAATTATTAAACAAATAAAAAGGATAACCAAACCATATCACAATGACACCCTCTGTTTTCCTCAAACCAATAGAAGTCATACCTGATTCAAGACAAAATTAAACTGTGCATCAGCCTGGTCCATCTTTTCTCCTTCCAAGAGACAGAAGTATGCACGACCCAACAAATGGTTCTGGAATAGATGCAAAAAAACATGAAATAGGACCAAGGGGGAGGGACATTACTCAGTGCAATATTTCTTAAACCCATAACAGTACGCCATACATGTCATGTATTCTATTCAATGCACAGCACAGACACATACTGAACCCAACAAAAATTATTTACATGTGAAAATACAATTGTGAAAACAAACAGAACAAAATTTGCCGAATTTCTATCTATATTTACACTGAAATCTTGCTCTTAATTTTTGGACTCCTCCCTTCCCTAAAAAAGTAAAAGTCAAACCTGCCCTGACGGCCACCTCTATAAGACGGCCACCTGTACAAATGGCCACTTTCCATTTCCCCCTTGTGCTTTTTCTATATAATTTAACTGTGTAAAACGGGCACCTGTCCAACGCCCCCGCAAACTATATTTTAACACACAACCCTTATCACACTAAGCAATAACTCCTGTCTTAAACGGCCACCTTAGTGACTCCATTACGTTTTGTCATAAATTGTGCATTGGCCCCTGGCGTTGTGGGCGAGCCGTCATAATTCAATCACCTGTCGTTGTTGTTAGGTAGTCCCTCCAACTGACCATATTGCGTAGGCCCCTCCCACTGTTGACCAATAGCTACATATTTTCAGCTGCTGGTGAGGTAAGCGTGTGATCCCACATAACCCATAAGCCCCGCCCAGAACTCATACGTTAATCGTAAGTGAGATCAGTGGTCACTGTTTACCCAGTCTGTAACAAAGTAACAAAGGACGTCAACGTGAACTTGTGACAGAAGAGTCGCTCGTTCTCCGAGTGGTGGCGATCCATGTGTTTGTTTTAACATGGCACTCGGTCTTCCTCATCTGATACATTTCGTTTTATTGTCACCCTTGTGCAAAATCAGTAACAAAATAAAAATTACAAACAAAATACAAATCACCACCACCAACAACCAAAACAACAACAACGCGGCTACTTTCGATTGGGACTTCAGATGGGAATGGTTTGTTTTCTTCATCTTGATCATTCCTGCCTAAGACGGCCACCTGCCTTATACGGCCACTTTTCTCCGTGACAATGGGTGGCCGTCTTACATAGGTTTGACTGTATATCAAGAGCAAAAGTGAAACAATGGGGAGAGTACTTACTTGATCGTACATAATGATTCTGTCAGCTGTTGTGTACAGAAGGGTGGCTTTAGTAAAGAGCTCCCTCTTCCTATCCTTATTCTTTTCCTTATGGGCCTTTTGCACATAGTAGGCAGCTAATGTGTCCAGAGACCTCATTTGATCCTTCTCACAGTTAAGATAATCCAGGCTGGCATCTGTCCTCGAAGCTTCAAGGATCTTTTCAAAGTGTTCCACTGCACCTTGTTTCCAGTACTCCAGCTGTCGAGATATTAGGGACATACTCCAGACATAAAACACTCTCCAAGAGAAAAAGGGATTAGTGACATAAACATCTAAGACAAAATACATTATACATACATAGAGAAAAAGGAATTAGTGTCATATATACATCTAAGACATAATACATATTTCAAAGAGAAAAAGGAATTAACGACATATATATATATATTTACAAATATATATATATATATATATACACACATCTAAATCTAAGACATAATACATACCTATTTCCAAGAGAAAAAGGAAGTAAAATAATTAAAAGCACAAAAGCCTTTATTTATTCTTAATTTTGGTAAAAGAGAAATCATTTTTTTAGCAAAGATAAAAGTGGCGAACAATGCTTTTCAATGTCTGCTTCAGATCTGGCACTTCATTTATGATAATGAAAGCCAAGAAAACGATCAACGTGAACATACATTATGACCGCTTTGAAGAACAAATAGAACGCTGTTGTTTTAGTCTGGATTCTATCAGTGCTGAGACTATCTAACTGACAGCAGCCACATTTCACCACTAGCATTGCATTGAAAAGTACTACAGCCAGAAGTCCAAATTTAGGACAAAATGCAAAAGAAATTATATCCTTTATATGGTTTTTCCAGTAAATAATGTAGAGAGCTGCCAACTTTCCAAAACCAAGAAACAGACTCTACCTAAGTGGCGAATCAAGATGCTAGGCATTAACCAAGAATCCCTCCAGCCCCCCCCCCTCGAAAACTCTGCCCACATTTTTGCATTTAATAAATTCAAGCTAAATGGTTAACTTAGCTATGGTAAACAAAACATCCTACAATTATTTGGCTTTTAGACTTTGTTCAAGTCATATGTACCAAAAGACCTTTTACTTACCGCTAACGTCACCCAAATGTGAAGAGGTGCTACTTCCTGTTTTAAAATACTTAGCACCTCTTCTCCATCCAGCAATGTATTCAAATCCAGCTCAATGAACTGAAATAATAAGAAAGGAGGGAAAGAAGAATTAGTAGAGTTAGAGTAATTCTAAATGTCTTGAATCAGTAGTTCAAATTTACATTTAAATTCAAATATAAAAAACAAAAATCAAAGAGACAAGAAAAAAACAAACAAAAACAAAACATCAACAAAGTTCAAATGATCCACTCTATAAATAGCTAAGAGAAGCTACCAACTCGAAACACACAGAAACGAGTGTAAAATTTTACCGTCCTGATTACTCCCCTTCTAACAATGAGCATAGCCCTCACATTGAATGTTCTGGAGTGGCTTGATTTCCTGAGTTTATTACAACTCCCCCCCCCCCCCCAAGCTTCTATTTGTTAATGTTAATAACTCTAGACCGCCACCCTGAAACCCACACAAAAGAATTTTAAAATTTTAACCCTGGTCCTGCCGGAGCCGGGTTTATATTCACTGAAAAGCGCATTTTGGCACCTAGCCTTCTGTCCGGTCCTGTTTCAGTCCAGCCCTGGCTCAGCGCACGCGCGCCGAGCATCATCCGTGTGATGATTGGGTCCTGTATTCCTGCAGCTCAAATGAGTGTGTGTCAGTCTGCTTGAGATTGTGTGCGTTTCTTGCCTACTTCTAGAAATAAGAACCTCATGCGTTGGTTCGCAACCGAGGCATACGTCTCATTCAAAACACGCCAAGTTGGTAGCTCTTGATGTTCATCAAATGAAACTAGAACAAATTGACCGACTTAGACGTGAGGTGCTCAAAAGGATAGCCAGGAAACAAGACTTCCATTTTTTTCTATAAAAAATCTTTTAAATGATGAGCTTTTATATAAAACGATATTACCTGATAAAAATTAGCCTATTTGATAGTTATAAAAACCATATGCTGGTAAAATAGACCTGCATGTGAGCCTCAACCAGATTGTCTGAAAATTTTGCGCGCACCCCCCCCCGTAAAAGCTTTTGTCAATTTTGTGGGTTTCATAAGGAAGGACTTCCGAGTAACGAGCGACCACCCCAACAAACACTATAAAGAAGAGACCTAACCCTAACCCTACCCCAAAAAAGAACCTGCAATGGGCCTCATGTGAAAAGGCCAGCACAAGTCCACAATGAAAAAAAATATATAAATAAAAACCACACCCCAAAACAAACAAGGAGCATAACATGGCCTACTTCTACATTGCTATAATAAGGTTTGATACAATAACACAATAGAATTGGAATATGAATCCTCCATATAGATCTAGTAATCTAAATAAATCTAGATCTAGATTCTAGATCTTGTAGAACAAGTGAATAGGAATAGGCCTTGAACTAAAAATCCGCACCCGATTCCGAACAGAAGGACTCGGCCGAGTCTAGATTCTAAATAAATGAATAATTCACGCACCTGACGAAATGCTTTTTACCAACATTAATATTACATTACAGCACAACCTATGATAGGGTTTGACACAATAGAATTGGAATATGAATCCTCCACTGAGGTCTATAATGATCTATATAGATCTAGATCTAGATTCTATTACAACAAGTGAGTCGGACTTGAATGAATCCACACGATCTGAACAATTGAATTAGTCAACAAACGAAATTCAAACGAAACTGAAAGAAGATAATTTAGGTCTTCGTCCTTTTTCGTATTCGCATTTCTACTCAGGTCCCGACAATTATGTCGGAAACGCCGACATCGGCAGTCGGCACGAAAACGAAAGTGCCGACAAAGCCGACGGGAGAAAAAGAGGACACTGGCAGTCGGCCAGGTCTCGCACTACGCACATTGACTGATACAGGTGGCCCTAGCGATAGCATCGGCTGGCTCGCGGTTGTCGGATTTCAGACGATTGTCGGCAAACATGCAGGTCTAGCTTTTTATCAATAAACATTTCCTGGTCCCTTGAACTTTTCAATTCATTTGTCCTTCAAATATATAACTTTCAATTTGTGAAGTCTCTAGATCTGGTAGATTTTAGAGCATTTGAAATGGAGTGTCTACGTACACACACGGTAACTGGCAACCAGGCACGTAGTCTAAGTGTCACGTACACGGTAACCAGGCATAGCCTCAATATCTACGTACACCGTTAGTATGGTAACCGGCAACTGGGCACGTAGTCTCCGTGTCACATACACGGTAACCGGGCAGTTCAGAATTCCAAGTTCAGTTTTTGTCATCCGGTGCCGGTGTAGCCTTCAGTCCCCTCCCCCAACTGTACCTAAAAAAAAAAAATCAATAATCCCCCCATTCCGGAGCCCTATACTTCGCAGTGCACAAACTTTGATTGAACTTTCGTGACCCCAACCGGTACTCACAATGAAATGCGCACGGCACGCACAGGTTCACTGACCGGTCACGATGTCGAGACCGACTCTTGAATGACTTTTTTTTTCAGGAGGCCACCTCTATAATAGCGCAGGCGAGTCTTTTGGCTATTCTCACCCGGTGTCCGTTCACTGTTATAGTAGCCTAGATCTAGGCCAACCAATTTTGCGTTCACCCTAAACCACAGAATTCTACTGTGATAACAGAAAAATTGT